TAAGCAAGTCTTATCGAAAGCAAATATTCTGTGATAAAGTAATCCATATGAAACCAACGCGATGTCCAGTCTTTCACGTCTCCCTTCATTATCTCTAATGCGACCACGCGCTGAGCGTGCTGTAGATATTATCCACGTGAAGCGCGCGGCGTGTAAACGCCCACATCACAGCAAACAAAGCAGCAAGACCTCAAGTTTTTTTTATTTGACTGTTCGCATCGCACTGAGAGGAATAAGACAGAATTCACCTCAAGAAGCTTTGGATTACCTCGTTATACCCGTGTCTTATGGAGTAATGACGCTGAAATGTTTGGAAAAGTTTTAATTTTCGTTTGGGACTGTGGCTGCATCACCGGCATCTTGCACAAGAAAGGCACACACATGTCGTTCAGTTTTTAGTTCGCTAGAAAATCCTACTGAGTAAGTGCACAGTATAGTAATTGTAATTGTATTATTCCTAGAATATGTGGTAATATTATTTGTGGTTGATAGTGTTAAAATGTAACAATTGGCATTCTCTTTTCTCATGAAGTATGGATACTATACTAAGGTACTGTGGGGAATACACCACTCTTGCATTCACCTGCATCTCTCATAGGAAGGGGACACTCGTTCAGTTTTCAACTCCGTTCAGAATCTTCGAGTAAGTGTGCATTCACTATTTTACAGATGTTACTTTCATTTGATTTAGTTACTGCATGGTAAAATATGTTTGCTATGTGGTAATTGTGTTCTTTGTTTTGATAAATTAGTACTAGTATCAGTGAACATCACAATAATGTTAATAATGTAGTTATTGTGTAAACAGCATGCTTGCTTTTTTATTTCATTTTATGTGAGAATAACAGTGCAAAAGAACCTGTTGCAAAGAGAGCCAAAGCAAATAAGCAGCCCACTCGGTCATGGAAAACAGAGACTGAAGTTGACATGTTCCACAGGCTCTGAGATTCCTGCCCGCACAGGAACCTGGACCACAGCTAAGACCATGTGATGCACACATTCCCAAAATGATGTGATAGTTGTGTGGTAAGGTGGGTGACGTAATCCTTCCTCATTGGTGTGTGGTTGTCATCCACAGCCTATTAGAACCGATCTTTCTGGGTATTTAAGGCTGTAGTAATGCCACCTGGTGTACGTCACTGCTGGGACCGCACCTATGAGTGCGCGTGTATAGATGCACGTCGAATGGCCGTTTGATGCGTTGTGTTGGGTTGCAGGCTGTCCACTACATGTCAGGTATGTGTCTGCTCGTATTACGTGCTGCTTGTTTAGCATCGGGTGATGTTAACCGGCGCTTATTTACTACTTGGCTGTGAAATTCTTTGGTGAAGGTGTCTTCCTGCATGAGCTTCTACGCTGGTTATGAGTTGAGAGCAACAGTACAACTCGTGTGGCACAACGATCCGTTTCGGTAGGTGCGATTCATTTTTTTCTTGTGACCAAGAAAAATTATATTTTAGTAATCGCCCCTTTCTTTTAGTGCACTAAGGTTTTTCTCTGACGCTGCGCTGGTTAGTCGTGGGAGAAGGCAGAAGTGTCTACACTCGGCATTAAAGGAGGACGGCGCTGCTGTTTTCTTTTATTTTCTCGTCTTTTGTGCTTCTTTCCTTTTTGTTTATTTTCTTTCTTTTGTTTAAAATAACATTGTGTTATTTTTCTGCTCTGTATATTTAGTTTCTTGTTTGCTTTTGCAAATATAACACTGTGATATAATTTTTTTTATACATTGTTTTTTGGGTTAATTTTCTTTTTGCTTGTTTTAGGCACTGTAGGGCCCGAGGCTAGCTGGTAGTGAGTACTGGTGATGGTACAATCGTGTGGAGTGCAGTGTTGTTTGGATTCACGTTTTCACGTTTGTGAGTGGGTGTGAGTGTGCGTGGGATGTACATTTACTTGACCTCTCAGGGTCAACTGTCTATCTACAGCGGATCTAAATATTTGTAATTAATTAGAACTTATAATTATAGTTATGATTAATTATTCATATTTCCCCATGAGCTGATTCGCTACAGATTTTGGTGGAGAGAATGCGGGCGTGATAAAACGATGGTTATGAGCCTAAACACTGTCAACCTAAAAGTGTGTGCATGACTTGAGATATGCTGTTGTGTGTAGGGCCCGAGGCTAGCTGGTAGTGAGTACTGGTGATGGTACAATCGTGTGGAGTGCAGTGTTGTTTGGATTCACGTTTTACTCTGTGTGTGTGTGTGAGTGGGAGTGTGTGTGTGGGATGCACTAGCGTACAGATAGGATCTTCGCTTCAGCTAGCCTGCCTTTGCTGCTGGAAAGCCTGTTACTGTTGTAGCGTCTGGACCAATCAAAAACACAATTTTTCATTTGAT